GTATTCAAAGATCCAGTTATGTTGCAGCGTATAATTCTAGTTTCTTACATAGTATACCTTAGCAAGCCACATTTATCCTCTTTATTTATTTATTTTGAGACAGAGTCTCATTTTGTTGCCCTTGGTAGGGTGCGGGGGTGTCACAGCTCACAGCAACCTCTAACTCTGTGCTTATGCGATTCACTTGCCTCAGCCTCCCAAGTAGCTATGACTACCGGTGTCTGCCACAATGCCTGACTATTTTTTGTTGTAGTTGTCGTTGTTGTTTAGCAGGCCCCGGCCAGGTTTGAACCTGCCAGCCCCAGTGTATGTGGCTGGCTCCCTAACCACTGAGCCATGGACGCCAATCCCACATTTATCATTTTGGTGATAAACACCTTAGTTGTCTCTAAGATGAACCACTACTAACAGCACTGTCGAAATCATTCTTTTAAATCAGTTGTTCTCAATTTTTTTTTGTATGCATTATAATCCCCTAAAAGGCATGTTAGAACTCAGACTAATAATCCTTGGTTAATAATCCTCGTAGGGTCTGAGAATTTGCATTTCTCACAAGTTCCTAGGTGATGCTGATGTTTCTGAGATCCTTAGGGCGTATACACATTGAATAATAGTGGGTTGCCCTCCAAAATGCCACATCAGTCTACCCCCACGGCTGGTATGGGGAAACTCCTCCTAAACTAGTCTGGCATTATATTTATCTAACTTTCTTATTTTTGCCAATATTATGCTCATAAAATAATTTTACAAGCTCCTCTCTGGCAGGCAGCCAGGTAGAGCATCATTTTACTTACGTTTTAGCTATTTGGGCTTCCTCTTTGTGTTTCCCTTCTGTATACTTTGCTTGCATTTCTTTTCTGTTTACTCTTCTTCTTTTTTATGAATTTCTAATCGTTCCTTTATAATTCAGATATGAATAATTTTAGTTTATAATGTTACAAATATAGTCTTTAACTTATTTTATATCACACAAAAATACTTCATTTTAATGTTGATCTGTTTATTTTTACTCTCACTTTTTTTCTGCATGAGTTTTTATATTTTCTTACTTTTTTTAAGTTTTACTTTTTAAGTCTAGGAGAATTTAAGTCTTTAATCTAATTGGATTTTTTAAAATGTATGTCATAGAGGTCTAACTTTATTTCGTCTATTTAATAATGCATTTTCCCTTACTGATTCTAATCCCAGTACCATTGACTGAACAATTTACTCTTTCCCCAAGTTGTTCGTGGTGCCCCATCAATGATATGCCAACTTCCTACATAAACATGAGTCTGTTTTTAAGGCCTTGGTAAATTTTCCCATTCTGATATTAGCACACACTGTTTGACAAGGCAGTGTATTATATACTTTGTATCATGGCATTTTAGATGCGTTTGTGGAGCTCCTCAAAAAGTCTAACTAGACTTTTAATTTGAATTGTACTAAAGTCAAGATTAATTTGGGGGGAAATTGATGTCTTCTGAAAATTATTGCCTTTTTTTTGGAAATTTCATTTATTCAAGTCTTTATGTTCTTGCGTAATCATTTCTACTGGACATTTTGTTCCTTTTCTATTGCCTAGATAATATTTTTTCTTTTGCTGCTATTGAAAGTAGTTTGTGTTTTCTCTTACACTTCCTAGGTGGTGTTTGCTTACAAAGAACAAGCCTAGTGATGATGTATTGACCTTTAATTCCATAATCTTGATCATGGTTAACTTCCTTTCCTAGTCTTCGATCTCTTATTTATTTTTGTCTGTCTTATTGTATGCTCTGGAGTTTGCCATCCATGTTGGATTATATTTTTATGTAGTATATATTTTTCTTGTTTTTGTATTGAAAGGCAATTTGTCTTAAATGTCTCCATACATTTGATGTATCCTGTAGGGGGTTATCATGTTAAGGAATCTCTTCCATTCTCGGTTCTAAACACTTTTTTAAAAAGCATAGATAGGTAGCAAGCTATTAAAAAATATTTTCTCCATGTATTGAAGTATTTATGTGCTTTTCTCCCTTAGTTGGTTAAGGTGTTCAGTACAATCAATAGAATTTAAATGCTATTTACATTTCTGAAATAAACTGCGTAATCATAATGTACTTCTTACTGTTGATTCAACTGGATCATCTTTTATCTAGAATTTTTGAATCCATGTTTAAATACAGAACGAGCTTATAACTTTTTTCTTTTTTTATTTTCTTCTTATTACTCTTGTAGTAGTTGTTATTGGAGTTAGGATAATTCTCCATAAAGGGAATTGAGTAGCAATACTTTTTCAATTTTCTTTTTTTTTCTTTTTTTTTATTTTTACATATACATGTGTTTATTAGGTTTCTACTTTTTTACTTCACAAAACTAAAAAGTCTTGAAATTTAACAACGATAACAATGTTTAAGATAAGGACTAGAAACAAAAACCTTGTAAAGCATGATGGAGATAAATACATTCAGAAAAGAAATCAGACACTTGCTGCAACAAAGTATTAAGCAATAACAACAATAATAGTAACGCAAAGAAAGTAACATTCCCATTGTCAAATAAGAGTATGTCTATTATAGAATGCTTTGATTCTGAGGTTCAGTATGGAGTCATCAGTTAACTTCTTCCAATTATTTTTTCCAAAGTCTCAAAAAATAGACAATATTTATAAATAAAAATTAAAGATAATTTCAAAAAACAGATCATGCCAAATCTTATAGACAATAGAAAAAGAAGAAATACTTCAAAATCATTCTGCTTAATCTGGATACACCTGATATTAAAATTGGAAAAAATATATTATTATAAAGGGGAAATTACAAACATAATTCACTTTTAAATGAAGATGCAGTATCCTGTATCCTAAACAACATATTAACAAGTAAAAATTAATGTTTAAGTGATGTACTTTAGTCAAAATTGAATCCAATTTATGTGAGAATTAGTCACTATTTTCTTTTTTTTTTCTCTTGTCCTTACCCTCACCCCCTCCCTCCCTCCTATGTATGCAACTTTGATATGAGGACAATTAATGACATGGTGGGGCATGGGGGAAGGGGAGAGCATACTTTTTAAATTTTCTGGAACAACTTGTTTAATATTTGAAAGAAATCTTCTATAAAGCTGCTGTGGTGTAATTGCTTTTTATTGTGGAGAGAGACCTACAATCAGCATTTGGATTTATTTAACGGCTATTGACCCAATCAAGGGCTCTAGTTCTTGTTGCACCAATCTGTGCATTTTTCTCCTAGAATTACTTACCAGGGTTTAAAATTGTTGCCAAAAGTTCATAATATGATTTTATTTTTATGTCAGCAGAATGCAATTACCCTTTTTATGCCGTAATTTATTTGATTGTATCTTCTCTTTCTTGATTTACTAGTCAGTACTGTCGAATCTTTACCTTCCCTTTTTAAATCTTTTCAAGCACTATGCTTTGATTTTTTTCATGATGTTTTTGTCTTTTATTTCTCACCTATGTCTTCTTGAACTTATCTGTTTCTCCTCTTCTCTTTTCTTGCATTGAAAACTTAGCTCACTTTCTCAGGTCTTTCTTTTTTATTACATCATCTTCTAAGATAAGATGAATACGTTGGTTCACTCAAACCTGCCGGTGGTGTTTTTTTTTCCTTTATCATTATCCTGATATGCTGAAGTCATCTAGCATTGCAATTCTGGGTTCCTTTTTTATAGTTTGTTTTTGTTTGGCACCACGGACATCTTGAATTCAGTTTCAATATCAAGAAGTGCAGCGTCAATTTGAGACTTGTCTTTTTGTAAATGATGTGCCTTTTTTTGCTCTAAATCCCATTAGACTTATTTTTGTCGCCATCCTTAAATTTCACTGCAGTGGGTATAGATAAGAGACTTTTTTCTTCATGTCTCCTATTAGTTCTTTTGATCATAAGTTTTATTCCAGTGTCTTTCATCCAACGAAATTCTCAGTCATTACAACCTCAAATGTTTCCACTCTTTTCTCTATTTCATTCTTTCATTAATGCTTTATAAAGAATAACAGCATTTCTAATTCTATTATCTATACCTCTTATTAAATTTTACTTTAACATTTTTCTTCTTTTTTTTTCATTTACTGATACTTGTAGGAAAAAGTTCCTCACCTGACCCTCATCAGCTCAATCAACCACTCATTGAATTCTTTCATTCAATTGTTCAGTTTTCATACGGAGTAGCACCTGTTGGCACTTGTTTTTGGCCTCCAGTTTCTATTTCATGTCGTGAGGGGGTGTACCCAGGGCTGCCTGGTCTTCTTGCATCTGTTCACTTCTCCTCACCCCCACGTGGCGTGGGGACTACCCTGCTACTTCCCAAGGCACTAAGTAGCTGCCATTTTTCTGCTCGGAAGAGGCAAGAGGAGTGAGAGGACTCTGCACGTTCCATCTCCCCTTCATGTTTCCCCGCTATCTCTGCTTTGGGTTATAGTTCCTCGCCAACCCCTAAACACTGGAGTCCAACCAGCTTTCACTGTCCCCAAGAGTTTCCCATAGTTTCACATCATTTGTTTTATTCCTACCCTCTGATGTTTGTAAAACATTTCCAGGATTGAGGCTTGGAAGGAAATCAGTCTCTCTTGTTGGCCTGTTATCTTATTAGGAGCTTTGAATTCCAGAAACTGGATTTTTAGGAGCATAGAGAGAGAATGCACTTTGGGGGACTACTTTTTTTGCTTTAGATTCTGGAAGCCTCAATTTAGAAGGAAAAGAACACCAGGCAGCCGGCCTCACAGGAAAATAAGATGGAGTCTTAAGGGGAAAAGATAAAGAAGCAAAAGGCAGAGAGATCTCCCTTATCCTGTACTCAGAAAGTTCATGACTCCCAAATTAGAACTTGTTAATTCTAAGAGTTCTGTGTGAACAGAGAGCCCACATTCTTGCCCATCCATCCTCTCTTTCCTAGACTACACAGTCCCTTCTGCTATAAAAACAGACATATTAATACTTCTCCCATGCCCAATTTCTACTTGTAAGGATCAAATTAAATCTTCTATTTATTTACTTTTTTGTCTTCTTTGCTCATTCCTTCAGAATCAACCTATCGACACCAAGCAACCATCGACGATGAAGCTGTTTCCATGGAGATACTAGATACTGCTGGTCAGGTGAATAAGGAGTTCAGCTAAAATATTTTCTGCATCACATAAACATGAGACATACATAATATGAACAAAATTAAGTCACTTTCTTTCAACTTTTGCATGCCTAAAAACTTTTTTCTCTACTCACCTAGCCATTTTTTATATTAACGTATTTGGAGGAGTGTATGTATTCGTCCCGAGGCAAACTGCCTAGTGAGTGCTTCAAGAGGGTTTTGGAAATACTGTAGTATTCATATATCATCTAGGTTAAAATTTCTCCCTTATATTTTGTGGTATAGTGAAATATTAATAGGTTTTTATGGTCAAGTGTGTTTTGAAATGTTCAAAGTTAAACAGGTGTCTTTACTGAAAGAATCTTCAGAGCCTCTTAGATGCTTGTGTGTAAGGTCAATTTTTAGGAGAGCAATATGAATGTATTATTTGTTTGTTCTAAAATATTTTAGGAATCGCTCCTATAATACTTGCTTTGTAGATTTGCTTTGAGGTCAGTTTTCCACATATAGAAATGACCACTGGAATGACAGTTAGGAAAGTGAAAGTTTCTGTGGTGCTAAATCAATGACCTGTGACCCCAAGAAGACCTGAATTAAAGGGTGTAATCTAAGAAGTGTTCTTAAAATGAATTATATCCTTTTCCATCTCATCCCCACTTCCTTGTTCTCTGACCTTCATGGAGCACTGCTTCTGAAGAGAGACAGCAGGAAAGTACCCGCCTCCAGAGTAAGTCATTTGAACCTCTGGAGGCAATGCTTTCTCAAATCATGCATGCCATCTTCCTAGGGGTTCCTTTGAGGATGACTTCCTATGAGTTGCTGTCATCATTAATACTACATACCATTCTTGAGGTATCGGGATAGGAAGAAAACGCCAACATCCTTACTTTAAAATTGGACTCTATGCAATCTACCACTGTTTTTCTGCCCCTTTGGGCTGTCTAATCTGAAGATAGAGAAATTAAAACAAACCAAATAAATAAACCTAAAAGGCAACTTGTTAAAGTTTGGCTGTCATTCCCATACCTAAAGAGCAGGGCAAGTAAGGACTACCTGCCAGAGGTCAATTTCTTAATTGTGATGAAAAGTCTCACAAAGATGATACGCTCAATTCAGATTATAATTTCTTTAATGTTTTGTGATCACGGATTTGATGACGTGTCAGGAAAAAGTTAAAAGCAGAAAGTAGAAGTCTCTGAAGTTCGAAAATTTTCAGTTCCCTTAAGTATCTGGGTACAAGTAATGCTTCTCTTTCACACTGACTGAGAAAGTAAGCTTGTACATGCAAACTAGCAAGACCTCTTCAAGACGGTGGATCTAAGGAATAGAAAGGGTTTCCTGCTAGCCTCAGCAGCGAGCAGAACCTATACATCCCAATTACTTCCCGCTCTCCTGACTGCCATTTTTCTTTGCCAACAGGAAGACACCATTCAGAGGGAAGGCCACATGCGGTGGGGGGAAGGTTTTGTGCTGGTCTATGACATTACCGACAGAGGGAGTTTCGAGGAAGTGCTTCCACTTAAAAACGTCCTAGATGAGATCAAAAAGCCGAAAAATGTGACTCTAATCTTGGTTGGAAACAAAGCTGACTTGGACCACTCCAGGCAGGTTAGTACGGAGGAAGGGGAGAAGCTGGCCACAGAATTGGCTTGTGCCTTCTACGAATGTTCTGCCTGCACAGGAGAAGGGAACATCACAGAGATATTCTACGAGTTGTGTCGAGAGGTGCGGCGGAGGCGGATGGTGCAGGGCAAGACCAGGCGACGCAGCTCCACCACCCACGTCAAGCAAGCCATTAACAAGATGCTCACCAAGATCAGTAGTTAGGCAGCTTGGTTTCTGCGCAGGCCCCTCTCAGATGGGCCAGGAAATTGGAAACACTTCCTTGCCCTTTTTTTTCTCTCTCTCTCTCTGTCAAAAATAAAATAAAATATTTCTTTCCTTGTTCTGACTCTGGGAAATATCTGGGCTTCCCATTGTTCTCAGTTCCCCGTGTATTGGGAAGCTTTAGAATGTTTTATGCAATTTCAGTGCTGACACCTGCTCTCTTTCCTGCTTGAATAAGATCTACTCCACTGTAGTTAGAACATGTAATCATCACCAGAGAGTCTGAAATGGCTGGGTTCCTACTAAGTTTAAAAAGTCTTTCTGAAGGCATTTTTAAAACTCACATTTCTTGTCAGAAACTACCAAAAATTGTCTTAAGAGTCTACAATAGCAAAAAAATTGGCAAAATCTCAGGAAGGATAGTTGAACAGGGAATAGAAATCTAGTTCTCATGTGAAGTGAGGATTTTCTCTCCCCCCCATAACATAATTTTCTTGTGGTCCAATGATACACATATAACATAAAATTTGTAATATGAGTTCAGTGGAATTAAGTGCATTCATATCTTAATGACATCTTTTGAAAAATAACAAAAAACCATCATGACATTTATATGGAATATTAAGTGCCCCCAAAGGGAAGATTTTCTGAATTATCTTATACCATCTCGTTTTTCTTTTGTTCTCAAGTTCAAGCATGTTTTCACTGTAGTGGAGAGTTCATTTCAATTTGAGTTGAATGATCTCAGTGATCTATTAATCGATACATCCTACTTTTTATTCCTTGATTCAATCAAGATTTTAATTATACTAGAAGCAGCAAGACACAGAATTAAAATCCTGCTAGGTCTTTTCTTATTAAGCCCAGGGTGCTGCAAAGGTACTAGAAACGTTTCATCAAACCCTGACTTTATTGAATGCTCCTAGAGGATTTAGACTTAGAAAGGTCTAATTCATTTCTCCCTCTGGCTATGACCTTAGCAGAAAAACAATAGTCCATAAACCAGATAAATTGGAAAAAGAGTTTAACTACCCCTCTATTGGGGAGCAAAGACTTTGTACCAGGCACAGTCAGAAAAACTACCATTCATTCATTAAGTTAACCACATGACTTTTTCTAATATTTTGGATAAATTAATTCACTTAGGAGAATTCAGGAAAAATGTAGGTGACTAAAGCTTATTACATCTGAATAAATGGGTATAAAACAGATCATTGTATTGTAAAAGTACAGTATATAACTGATAAAACTTTATGATTCTTTTTGTCCCTGTTATGCCCCCATATATCAAGATTTGGGCGCTTTATTTTAGTAGAAATATGTATCTTTTACATATGTATGTATTTATAAATGCATTATAAATATATGTATAAAAATTTGTAAGTTTGGAGGCTTTAATTCACCAGTACATTTGGACAACTTGGTGTAACTGATTTTATTTTAGTGACTATAATAAAAAGCATAGTTTTCTCATTGTGTCACATTTGGGCAGTCTTTCTTGTGATAACATGCAAAGTTCATAATTTGAGGAGAGACTTAAGGGGACAACTGAATTGCAGAGTTTAAGAAATGGCAACTATATTTAAAAATTAGCCCCTCTTGACAATAATACCTACTATTTGGGGAGTGCTTAGGTGCTATTTTATGCATGCTATGTATTATCAAATCTTCATAATCACTCTATATAAAAGTAGTACTGTGATCACAATCTCAGAGATAACGACATTGAGAGCAAAGAAGTAGTTTAGCTAAGTTTGCTATTTAGTGGCTAGAACCAGGATTTAAACATCAAAAGTCAAAGAGTCAGACTCGAGATCCCATAGTATTATTCACTATGTAATCCTTCTCCTTGAGCTATAGGGATGAAAGCACCAAAGCAGATAATTTAGGAAAGATTTGTGTCATTTATGTTCTTATTCACTCATTAAAACTATACAGAGGGTACCCAAAAAGTCTATATACAAGGGAAAAACTGTATTAAAATTGTAATACTCAATAAATACCAATAATGTTTGTTATCTTGTATACTGTGTCTTATATCTCTTATAATTGCAGAAGTCAAATGTTACTTGAGTATTACAATTTTAATACAGTCTTTTTCTTTCTTGAAATATGTATATATTTGTTGGATCCCTCCATGAGTGTGTGTGTATAAATATATGTTGGACACATAATTTGACACAAATTATTCTATTTGATAGTGTATGACCTGAGCATTAAGGAATATTGATAGCTATCTAAGAAAGAAATAAGGTAAAAATAATGTAGGCAAAAGAAATATCAGGGAACCAAAATATGGAAGCATGAAAGGTGATGAAGAATGTTGTAATTAAAAGAGCTTTTGATGGCCACATATCATATTTAGGGGAAAAGGGAAAGACAACAGAAGGAAAGAATCAATAAAAGAAAAAGAAAAAATAATACAGAGGAAGAAGGTAAGAAAAATATCAAAAATTCATATTTCTATAGGCAACTGCCTATTTATTAAAGTAATAAGTCAATAAACTTAGCTGTGATTCATTTTCAGCAAGGTCCAATTAGACAATGTGAAAGAAATCAAATCAGAAAAAAAAAATATTTTTTGAAACCTTATTATCTTCCAGAATAAGAGCCTTCTTCACTTTCTCATGTCTATACTTGGAAATATAGTTCAGCCAATTCCTGTTAAAAGCAAGCTGTTAAGGAGACATGCTGAAATACAAGGGTGCTGCTCTTGAGTTAAAAACTACAGAAGTTAAAGGCACAGTCACCAATACCAGCAACTATCATAGACATTTGAATAAAACCCAGACTTGTAAAAAATCACAGAACCAGTGGTATAAGTTCCAACAAGTAATTATAGAAGAACATGAGATTGCACAACTATAAATTAGTTATTTCTCTCATGCCTCAGACTTCTCCACAAATGAATGTCATAAACAAGTTAATATGACTTGTTTGGAAGCTGAGCTTCATTTTTATAAACTCCAATGATGCAAGATTCACTTTGTAAAGAGTGGGAGTGGGGTTTTATTTTTAGTGTTGAAAACATATTGTTCATCTGGCCATGATGTTCCAACAGGGACTGGACTTACATATCAAACAAAAAACAAGCAGATAAAATATATGAAATGATGGTTTTCAGACATTGAATAACAAGAAATTATGTGCTTTGGTCCCCAAGAGAAGGGTAAGAAATCATGTAAGCCCATAAACCCTATGAGTGCACCAGCTTACTGCCAAGTGGAAGATTCCAAGAAGCAATACAAGAAAGTACCCAAACACAATGAGTTGAAGAGACAAAAAAAAAAAGTTAAAGAAGATTCTTGATAAGCATCTGTGGGATAGAAGTGCTGGAAAAAGGGAACTTCACAGAGATAAAGCTCCAGAGATCTACAGAAGTCTTTGACTCTGTATGAATCACTACCACTACATGATGACAGGAAACTACCCAACAGTGCAGTAAGAAGCATGGAAAAGCTATAGGTCAAAATTGGGGCAACCATACAGAAGGCTGGGAATAGTCTGTATTCTGTACAGTCACATTAAAAAGATCTTGTGATATACAAGTAATACACAACACTTTAGAAGGACAACTTGTTAGTTACTATGCAGGACATTAGAAGAACATTGTGTTTGTTGTGAGTCTAAATTAGCCCTAGATAAGGATGCTATCTGCTCTGATAAACCTTAAAAGTAAATCTGAAATTCATCAGAGTCTATGTAACTTGATTTTGTACTAGAAAAACCCAACAGATTATATAAAAGTATATAATGAAAGCCTTCCTCCAAAAAGATACAACTTAAAATGGCTGGCACAAAATCAAGTTACTTGGATTCTGATCAATTTAAGATTTACTTTTAAGGTCAAAATTACTATTCACACAATGAGAGAGAAGAATACAGCCCATTAATAGAAGAAAACGCAATCATTAGAGTCCAAAAAATGACAGATATTAGCATAGCCAACAAAGAAATTAAAACAGCTACTTTTTTCTTTTTCTTTAAATCATAGCTATGTATATTAATGCAGCCATGGGGTACAGTGTGCTGGCTTTGTATACAATTTGAAATATTTTCACCAAAGTGGTTAACATACTTTTAACCAAACTGGTTTCAACTTTCCTAGTTATTGTGGTAAGCCCAAGTGTCCATCGATTCATGAATGGATCAATAAATTGTGGTATATGTGTACCATGGAATATTATGCAGCCTTAAAGAAAGATGGAGATTTTACCTCCTTCTGGAACATATTCTGGAGCAGGAACATAATCTTCTTAGCAAAGTATCTCAAGAATGGAAGAAAAAGTACCCAATGTACTCAGTCCTACTATAAAACTAATTTATAGTTTTCATATGAAAGCTATAGCCCCATTATAGCTGAAGAAAATGGGAAGGGGGAGAGGAACAGCTACTTTTTAAAATAAATATATTCTTTATGTTCAAGAAAGAAGACCAAAACATAAATATAGTAAGGATAGAAATGAAAGATATAAACAAGGCTCAAATGTAATTTCTAGAGATGGAAAATACAGTATCTGAAATAGTAATACATGGTGTAGTATTAAAATAAGATTAGACCTTTAAGAATCAACCAGTCAACTTAATGACATAGTAATAGAAACTATCCAAGTGAAGAAAAGAGAGGAAATAAAACTAAAAAGGCAAAAATGAACACATCCTCAATGATCTCTAGAATAAAACCAGGCAATGTAACATATATATACATAATTAGACTATCAGAAGTAAAGGACAGTAATGGTGGGACAAAAGAAATTTGACAAATAATAGTTGAAAGAAATTCCAAATGATAAACTCCCAAATCCAAGAAACTCAACAGATGTCCAGAAATGAAAAGCAAAGAAAAAAATGAAGATACATCAAGATCAAGTTACTGAAAAGCAGTGATAAAGAGAAAATTACAAAAGCAGACAATGGAGGAAAAGGACACATTATGTATAATGGAACAAAGACACAAATGATAACCAACTTTACTTGGTTATGCAAGCCAGGAGACACTGAAGCAACATATTTAAATTATTGAAAGAAAAAAATACCAACTTACAATTCTTTTCCAAGTGACAGTATCTTTAAAAATAAACATTATCTCATATGATAAACGATCTAGG